TATTTCTATTTTTCAGATCAGAATTGATCGTTTGAACTCCAGGTGGACATCATCACTACAGATTGGAGTTCTTGGCTTCTCACCAGAGAAACTCAATTTTCCACCCACTGCCAGTACTATAAAGCGATGTTGTTGGGTTGTCCAGAGTGACTCAGTCTTCCACAATGGTGTCAAGGTAGCGTTACGACAAACGATAATTTGTATTTTTTTTTTGAAAAATCATACATCATCAACCATTATTATTTGTATTTTAATGTCAAATAAATCAAAGCAAGGTCACATTTTTGGTGCTGCCATTTCTCATCAATAACAATACTAGAGATTGAATTGAGTTGTTGCGGTTGTCAGAGATTGCTGTTTTTATAAAAAAAAAATGTCTTGCCTCATCTTCAAAACTATTTTAAAGTGACACACATTTTCTAAATAAGGACGACATCTGTACAGGTTTTCATGGGAAGCTAATTTCTACTGATGCTGGAGTTAGATATAAGGGTTATTACGAAGATATTGCAAAGTTTGTACAAAGGTAGTATGGTGATCATATTGACTGATGCGTGGCGACTCTGTGCTGCCTGAATGCATACTTTTTAGTATTCTCTTAATAACGTGATTACCGTATTATACCTATTTTGTCCTTATTTTTAAGTAATATTTGAATGATTCACCATACAACAAATGTAAATTTGGTTTATATGCATGCACTTTAGATAGGACATGTCTCAGATTTGTTCATTTTGTCATGGTATCTTCAATTCCCTAATTTTGATGAATATTTTTAAAAGTGACATTTTCGACTTCTTGTTAAAAACCGCAAGTCCAATTGCTTTGATAATATACAAATAGGTACCTCTAGACCTCTCTCTGATTTGTTCATTTCCTAATGATATCTTCAGTTCTGTAATTGAAATGTGCATTGCTAACAGCGGAGCTATCTTAGCCGAGAGGCTGCTTGGTATTACATTTCATTGTAAAATTAAATTCTATTATTTTCAGTATTCGATGTACAATAATGTGTCATACTATAAATAGTTTATTTATCTCACAGGTGAAAGAGAAGTTTGGTCCAAATTTAGATACTTTACAGATAGGTCATAAAGTTGGTATTATGCTGGACAATGACCACTCATTACATTATTATGTGAATGACGTTGATCAGGGTATGGCTGCCAAAAATATCCCTTTTGGTTCCTTTGCTGTGGTGGATCTCTACGGACAGTGTGAACAGGTATTTGAAATTTACTAGTCATCTATCAGCTTGTCACATATTGTAAAATGACTAATTTTCACTGGGTTTAAATTTCGCTGATTTACCATTTCAGGCATATTCAGTGGGTTTTAAATTCACGGTTTTATCATTTAGATAATGTGTTCTATGCTCAATTTTACATATTCACTGGGTTTTCATTTCATTTAGCGCATTTTCCATTATAACAAGCCTGTCTATATTTGTTCATAACTGAATTGGAGACATTACTATGTTGTGCAATAACATTGTCTGAGCAAGTTTTTTTTTTAATGTCAAACATTGCCAAAATTAATATTTTATGTAACTTATTAGTCCCCGTTCGAACGAAGTCCGAAAACGGGGACTTATAATTCGGTCTCCATCCGTCCGTGTGTCCGTCCGTCCGTCCGTGCGTCAGTGTGTCCGTGCGTCCGTCCGGAGTCATATCTCAGAATCCCTTGGACCGATTTCGTTCATTCTTTGCATGTGCCTAGTACTTTATATGGGACATATGCACATGCAGTGGTTTATACATGTTAGGATACATGTCCATGATGATTTATTTCACAATTGGATCAAAGATGGCAGACTGGCAGCCATCTTGTTTTTTAAAATGTCGTATTTTGGACATGCTTTGTCAGTTTTCATTCAAATTTAGTACATAGATCATACATGTTAGGATACATGTCCCCGACAGTCCGTGAATTCCTGAGTCTGTCCGTCCGACCGTCCGTGTGTCCGTGCATCAGTCTATCCAACGTCATATTTCAGAATCCTGTGGACTGATTCCGTTCATTCTTTGCATGTGCCTAGTACCTTATGTGGGACATATGCACATGCAGTGGTTTAGCGATTCAATTCAAAATGGCCGACTGGCAGCCATTTTGTTTTTTGAAAATGTTGTATTTTAGACATGCTTTTTCAGTTGTCATTCAAACTTGGTACATGGATTATACATGTTAGGATACATGTCCATGACGATTTATTTCGCAATTGGATCAAAGAAGGTCGACTAGCAGGCATCTTGTTTTTGTT